GGGGGATGCTCCTGTTGGACGCTTCATCCACCCCAGCATTGCAGCATTCGCGAGTTGCGCCTAATACCTCAAGATATGTTGAAAAAACATTTAAAGCTGTGTTTATGGCCGAATCACTGATCCTCCAAATCAAATTGGGGACAGTGATCTGAATCAACAAATCAAATCACGGTCCCCGATTCGGGCCAAATCCAAATCAAGTAAGACCCATTTCGCACACCCCTAGTGTGTGCCTCAGCGAGTCTGGGAAATGTAGCACCTGCTCTGGGACCCACATTGTATGCAGCATCTGTGTGGGACCTGTCTGGGGATCTTCCCCCTCCCTCTCCCCACCTGTCAGATTCAATGCACAGAGCACCCACTCTGGCCAGTCCAGGTCAGGTTCTGCATGCTCCAGATCTGGTGTGCTTGCAGGGGCGGGGGTAGGAACTGGGTTGGTGGGGCTGGCACTGCACAGTTTATTGGGACTGTGGATCAGTCCTGTACCACTCCTCAGGCCCATGGGGGACAGATGAATTAAACACTCCTGTTGTAGGCTCTTGACTGACATTTGTTCCTTAATGCCTTTACATACACCCACTATAATCTACTGGGCTACACTAAAATTTGTAAAATAAATATAGCTTAAGTGTTTCTTCCATTTGTGAACTAATCTTCAATATCTTTCACTTTTATTTTCTTAGGGTTGAGCATATGTGCATTCAAATAAAAGAAGTTGGTGATCGAGTCAATTACATCAAACGATCATTGCAGTCTTTAGATTCCCAGATTGGCCATTTACAGGACCTCTCTGCTCTGACTGTGGACACTCTAAAAACACTAACTGCACAAAAGGCTTCAGAAGCTAGCAAGGTCCATAACGAAATTACACGGGAGTTGAGCATTTCAAAGCATTTGGCACAAAACCTTATTGATGATGGCCCTTTAAGGTCTTCTGTGTGGAAAAAACATAGCATAGGAAATATTTTTGGTTCTTCTTTTCCACAAGGTGGCCTTGAGAGTAATAATGCTTTACTCTGTAACATTTCTATACGCAATGAAAGAAACACCCAATATACGATGGGTCAGGATTTAGATCCTGTTCCCAGGAGGGAAGAACTATTTTTACAAGAGGCAGGTTCCTCAGGCAGTGCCTTATTTCCAAGTGCTGTTATTCCTCCAGAACTTCGACAAAGAGTACAGGGTGCAGAGATCTCAAAATGCACTAATAAAAATAAAAAACTAGGCAACTCATCAAACAGCATGCCACATCTGACTTCAACAACTAAATTTTTTGTTAGCACTCCATCTCAGCCCAATTGCAAAAGTCAGCTGGAATCTACAGCAAAGCAAGAAGAAGCTATTTGCTCTAAGGCTACAGAAGGAGATAATAATGTAGAATTTGGTGCGTTTGTAGGTAAGTATAACAAAGTAGATTGTAAATGTCCTGAAGTCATTATTAGCTGCTCTTATTCTCTTGCTTCTGGCTCTGCTTCTCTTGCTTTCACTCAACCATGTGCTGAAAGTGGAGGATACATTAATTGTGGTTTTGTTCATGATGAAAATGACATCAGTGATAACGACAATGGAAGAGCTAACAAACGTGATCACCAGTCCCTTGTCAGTTTATCGGAGAACAGTATTCAAAAGAAGTTACTTCTGTCATCTGACAACCAGGCATCATCAGCGGTCAGCACAAGTGGTAGCCCCCATGGAAAATTGAATGTTAAAGATGAACTCCCCAAATGCCAGCACATTCAAGCAATGGAACTACAATACCAAGATTTAAGTTCTCACATCAGTACAGGACTACTTCAAAAACTGTGGACCAAAGGTTTGATTTATCAAGAATTGTATGGTATTTGGGTGTTTTCTGGTTGCAGGTGACTTTATTGTACCATTATGCTTTGCTTGTTTTGCTTTTAACTTTCCTAACTTCCCCAAATTGTCTGGATTTTGTTTTACTTTGAAATGATCATTTCTTTATAATTTCATCATATAGGCAATATTTTTCTGACCATTACACAGCTGTTGATGAATATAATTTTCATTATAATATTAGTAGTTCTACAGCTTTGTATGGGCAATTCAGATATACTTCAGTGGTACTTATTTTGAAGTTATAATGTTTTTTATTATAAAGCTCATGGAAAAATGTTGTCTATTTCTTGATGAAATTACAGAAGACTTCAGGAATCATGAAAAAATATCTTTGTGGTATCTGTGACAAACTAAGGGATCCTACTACACTACAATTCTGAACACTTTTACTAGGATCTTCCACTGTTAGAGTAATGTACCCCATGGGAGGTTTTCAAACAGTTCTTTTTTAAATCCCATTTTATGCTCTTTATTTTTGTTTACTTTACTTAAAAAGGTTTCTGGCTAGAGTAGACACTTGATGGATAAAACAGTGGCAGATTCATTCCAAAAGTAGGTGTGGGTTTACTAACTATATTCTGCAAATTAAAGAACAGATTAATTCAGAGCCAGTTTCAACTGGAGAATCACAGTCTGAAACTTTTTGAGGCTGCCTGTTCTCTTGCAGAGCAATAGTATCTCCCTGGACAAACCATGCATTTTTTCATATGGATATTGACTTGTTTAAAAAAAAATTTTAAATTTAGAGAAGAGCTTTATTTTGTTACTACGAAATGTGGGGTGCTTAAAATGATACTTTTACATCATAAGTATTTTTGATACATTTCTTCTACCTTCACATGAATATTTGTAACCACAGACTAGGCTCATCATACTTGTAAAGAACACTGTGCTTTTTGCTTTAAAAAGTAAGGCTAGAAGAGCATAAAGCATTTAAAATCTGACCCTGCAACTCAGTTTGACTTTTAAGTAAGTTGGACTACTAATAATTTTTAATACAAACTATACTTTTTTTGTTGGAACCATGCATTCATTATATGATCCTCTGTCATCCAAAATTTAGAATAGATTTCATCTTTATTGCATGGTACTTATAGAATATCTGAGCCAGAGCAGCTCTCTGTTAATGAAGTAGGTTTATTTTCAGTGTAACACCATGCGTGTTGGTGGAGTTGAATATAGTCTTGAGGATGAAGTTGTATAGTTTTTAAAAGCTACGAAAGGAAATTGTTTTTCCTGTAGCTAGCATATTCACGTAAAATATGCAGATTCAGAATATCCAGTTCCTCCAACACAGGACCCTTCTTCTCTTGAAACTAACATTTTAAATTGTAACAGTTTTATTCTTTAATGTGGGGAAAGCATCTATTCCTAATTTCTAACCTTTTTAATTAAATCTACTTACTTTATAGTTTTTCATACAAGGTTTTCCAATACAATCAAACATGGAGAGTATTGTTTTTTGTGTCCCCAACATAACAGAATCTTTGGCATGGTCAGAACTTAAAAGTTAACTCTGAATATTCTGGTTTTTTGTTTCAATTCATTCAAAGGTCACAGAGACAGTATGGAGTTACAGCGGTTTAAAGAAATAGCAAACAAAGAAAAAAATAATATTGAGGTAAGACTGAAAACTGTCCTGTGAAAGTACACCCTTGTAGTTTAATGTGGGTACTATTTTCCTCATCTCAGCACTTTTTACATATTTTAATTCATAGTTTACATTTTGAAAATATAAGAACAAACATTTTGACAGACTAGTATACAGAGAAGTTGCATACAGTTGTATTCAGTAAGAGAATGAAAGTATATGCACAGATTTTTGTAATGGAAATAATGGGAGAAATGGAATTTTGGATGGAACCTTATTTATGGAGCAATTAGCATTGCTATACTACAGAGGTTGGCAAGCTTTTTCAAGCTAAGAGCTGGAACCACTTGGCTCCAGTCCAGCATGGGCCAGATGGCTTTAGTGGTGCATTGGTGGTGCGGGCCTTTCCCTGGACCCCCACTGGTGTTATGCAGCTCCCAGCCTCCCACTCCCTGGCTGTGGGGTGAGTGCAGCTTCCAGCCTGTGGGGAGCTGTGCTGGGGCCGGGGAGCTAGAATTTGCTTCCATTCTGCAGCTGCTACTTGTCCAGGCCCCTACTCATACTCTCCCCTTACCCCCGCCCTTGTCCCCAATGCAGCTTTGCTCTGGCTGGAAGCTGCTCTCACAGCACAGCTTTGGGGAAGGGAAATAGGAGGGGATGGGGAGAGAAGCAGCAGCAGTGCAGGTACAGCTTCTAGCTCCCTGGCCCCAGCACAGCTCCTCGCTGCTTAGCTCTAGCTCTGGCATGGGCACAGGCAAAGTCTGGTGGCTCTGTGGGCCATCTCCAGCTTGTGGGCCATACATGGCAGACATTTGTTTATATATTGGGATAATGACCTTCAGATAGTTAAGCCATGCACTGAATTTCCACTTAAAGGAGGTAGTCATTGAAATTAATAAGCATGATATGTGTAGGACCAGTTGCACATATTATCTCATCAGTTAGGGAATCTGACTTGAGATTTAAAGCAGCTATTGAGGAAATGTTGTGCAGTGATCTTTTAAGGAAGATCACTGCTCAACTGGCTTCCTGGAAAATTAATATTCTGGTGAGTTACTTTTTATACAGCGCAGATCTTCAGCTTTAACTTGTGTAATATATTTTTTTCATTTTTCTTTGTACAGGAGCAACAAGAAGACTTTAAGAAAGCTATTCTGGAGGGTATAGAGATGACCAGACACCAGGTAAATAGGAAACCTTTGAGTTCAGACTCACTGTAATCAGTAATAAGTACTTGCCTTCGTTATTTTACGTTTTCCACATGAAGTGCAGAAGCCCAGGACACCATGGATGAAGAAGGAAAGTTTGGAGACAAAGTGAATGTCACACTAAACAGCAGACATGTGTTTAGACTCTGATTAACCTGTAATTTCTTTTCAGGTTCATAGACGATTCCATTTATAGCTAGCAGCAGTCACGTCATAATTAAGGTTAAATTTTTCATTTTAATGTTGATTGTAGCCATGATCCTTCTTTTTTTCTTTAAAGAAAAGTCCTGGAAGAATGAAATTTTGATATCTATTTAACAAAAAGGCAGTGTCTGTTTACCATGGACAAAATGTCCAAGACCAAGAGAAAATTTTGACAGTTATGCCATTAATCAGATAAATTCTTCAGAAGTTATGACACTGGAAAAAAAAGGGATTATGCAGAATTAGTACATTGCTAATGCAGTAGAGTTCAGATGGGCCAAATCTGGCCTCTGTCACCATGTTGTCTAGGCTGTGGGGTCTCCATGGATCTGGAAATTTGGTGGTAGGGAAGCAGTGGCAGCATTAATTGCTGTGGCTTTCAGAGTTGCAGCAGTTAAAGCTCTCGCTGTTTCCCTGCTGTCAAATTTCTGGATCTGTTGGGAGCCCCATGAGCCAGATGATACAATCTCTTGTGCTGGAAGGCAGGGGTTGCTCTGTGACCAGATCAGGCATGTGGGACCACTTCATGGTTGGGGCTAGCCACCGAGCTTGATCACACACAAAGACGATGACTACTTCTCATGTCTCTATACCACATTTGACCCCAAGATAGATCCCATGCAACAGTCTGCATAAATGCTTGAAGGCAGATATACCTGTGTTATTTCAGTGGACTAATGGTGCCTCTTCTCTGTTACAGCATCCTAAATCAGCTCAGTACCGTATGTCAAATAGGACCACTCTTGCAGCAAGTCTCTAATAATGTGTTCTCCAGAAATATACAGTACTGAACAATCTCTTGGCCATCTTTAAATGTTTCCAGTATGAAAAGGATGAGGGCGTGTACTTCAAATCCACTTCTAAGACATACTGCCTACATGTGTAGTAAGGCAGCTCTGCATCTAAGGCAGCAAGTGATGCACAGGGCATCACCAAGGTGCCACAGTGTCGAATGTAGCAGCGTGTTCAGCCACCCCTGCAATGGCAGCTATTTTTTCACCCACCCACAAAAGCAGCACCCTGTGTTGCTGTGCTGGTCACTCCTTCTCTTTTAGTTACACAGTTGTTACCTGCTCTTTCTGGATGGTGTTGATGTCATTCTACCAAACTTTGAAGGCTCTCCCTTTTCTGTCAGCAAGAGCTTGCATTTCCCTATCATTTGCATCAAACCAGTGCTGATGTGTCTTTGTGGAGAAGCCTAGAGATTCTTCGTACACCTCATCAGTGCCTTTCTTGAAGCTCTCCTAGTGATCAGTGGTGTCAAGAGTCCTCACGGGGGGCACTACTAGAGATGATCACATGTAGCAGGGCCTTTCAAGTGCTCAATATTGAACCTAAATGCTGCAGTGTCAGTATTGAGTCATGCAAGTTCTCTAGCCATGAGTGCTGTCTTTCACCCTGGTCGACTGGGTCAATGTTAGGTTGTCCATCAGGGTACAAATTATTTCAGGTTATTTGATTTGGACTGCAGGTTGGAAAGCCACATTCAGTGGAATCATTCTGTCAGGTGAAATGAGACAGATTACATTTGGGGAACCCTTTCTAGCTTTCTCCCCATATGGGGTGAACAGACCCTAAATAGTCCTGCACAGTCATGATTTGCAGCTGTCAAATTGTGTGCCTGCCTCATTTCCAAGTACAAAACCATCATACCCTCTTTGCCTTCATGTAGGTCTATAATTACGGACATCTAATACTCGCTAGTACCTGCCCCCATTGCCACTTACCCACCACCATGAGAATTAGTATGCCTAAGCATATCTTCATTTTATATGGGGATGCTGTTGTGCATCAACAGCCACACAGTACTTTGTGGGAAAGAAACCTTAATCTGATGTTGAGGAAAACCTAAATGCCTGGAGGTTTCTATTCCACTTCAGCCTTCTGCCTTTGCTACCATCATGAAGTATTCTTTCTTTATTCACTTGCTGCACCAGTGAGGACTTGTTTTATTTTTGGATTGCTATTAGTCACACCTCACCTTTGACCTTGCTGCCATGGGTTATCCTATGACGAGTAGAAAATTCAAGATGCCATCACTCTTGAGGTCATTGGTAGCACACAGTACTCTCTACCACGTTAAAGTTGTGATCCTTGGGAGATCTCTGTGCTTATTACTAGGTTTTCAAATATGTTGACCACGAGAAGTGAAGGTAAGATAGAGTGGCACCTTATAGACTGAGTGGCTCAGAGAGGCACGAAGTCATGTAGGCAACAGCTTGCTTCAGTTGTTAGGAATGGATGTGCCGAACGACAAATTTGTAGAACCTCAGTAAAAATAATCAAGTGCTACTGAGATTTCATCATTTGATTCAAAGAGGATGTCTAAGAATATTTAAAGGACTTACTGATGTTCTTTAAAATCAGTTTTTGTTTTAACAAGATATACAGTGGACTTGTTTGTCATATGTGCTTGCTGTATATTTACTATAGGACTCTAAATGTGATTAACAAACTCCTTTATTTATTAATTGTGAATATTTGGTATATGGAGTATTAATCTTTGAGCGAGAGTATGAATTAAGGATTTAACTTCATTTTAATTCCCTATATCATAGGAATCAGAACTTTAATATGAAGTATATAATGTAATAGCACAATTTTCGAATTGAAATATATAATGAACTAACAGTTATGAAGAGGAGAGGTTAATTTTTCTAGAGGTATACCTTTCAATTTGAAGTTGTTTTACTGATATTGCTTTCTATTTGTCATTTCAAAAATAGATCTCTATTGCTCCACTCTAAGTAGAATCTTTATTACTCATTTAAAAATAATGAATCTCAGGATTTGTTGTAAATAAGTATCAGTCTACAATTTGTAATGGAAAGACTTGAAAAAGTATGTATTTACTTAAACTGTACAAGATGCATTTTAAAAATATATTTGTCGTACATTTGAAAGATGGTCATAGAAAGAGATATTAGTTATGTTGCAAACTAAGCAGATTACCATACTGCGTGAATAGCAGAGGATTACAGGAATGATAACTGATAACTATATGTATTTTACAGGATGGTCTTCAAACTGACTGTAATTTGAGACAGACTAACTCTTGCAGTGGGTTTGCTGAATATCTTGAAAACTCTTTGGCAGGTCGTTCGGAACAGTGTAAGTGCAGATTTCTCTGTGGCTTAGTTTTATCCCAAAATTTTATTAATTAAGTTAAGTCACTAATTCAAGAGGTACTATCAACATAAAATTAGATTTGTCTCTGAAATTTTTTAACATCTTTTTTGTTACTTGAAATGTGTAAGTTCTTAACATCTTTGAGAGTAGAGGAGTATATATTTTGTTTTCTAAAAGTTTTCTAATTTGTGTATTTGTCTGCATTGTATATGTAGTCAGTTTTCTGCTGTCTGTGAGATTTTTCAGTGTGGGAGAGGGAAAGAATCATTTGTATTTAAGAAAAGGGAAACAGGAGTATAGGGAAAGAGGAGAGTGGAAGAAATATGATAATAAAACAATCAAAATTACAGGGAAATCTAGTGGCAAATGTAATACTAGATGATAACTTACTTTTTTCAAATGATATATCTGAATGGTTAGTCTTTCATTTAAACTGTTTCAGATGTATGTTTTAAGTCCTTTTGTTCTTATATCCTGTACTTAATGTCCTATAACTGGGATCAATAGCCTATGGCCCATGGGCCAGATCTGACCTACAAAGAGCTTGGATCTGGCCTTCAAAGGTCTGATTCTGGGGAGGTGGGGGTGGGGGGAGGAGAATTTAAAGGGGTCACATTCAATCCGTGATTTAAAGCCTTCACAGCCAAATTGGCTATCCCCTGTTTGTGTTCTCTTGCTGCCATAAAAGGTTGCTAACCTGCGTTGTGTAAAACAGTAGATTCTTCCATGAGATCTGCTTATTCCAGGATCTCAGTGTTTACAATACTTTTTTTACAGATGGATAAAAGGCATGGGAAGGTTCAGTGATTTGCTTAAGGTCATGCAGGCAGTCTGATAGAACCAGCACTGGTACGATATGTGAACTAAGATTGTTTATCTTGTGTCCATATGGAAAACATGCTGCAAAATAATTGGCTAATTTGTGTGCTTTGTGTGTCTTTTTTTTTAGGGGGTATATTATATTACCTCCCTTTCCCTGTATTGTACATGATTTAAACCATCTTCTGTTTCACACCTGTCTGCTTCTCTTGTCAAGTTATGTTTTTTTTTCTTTTCTAGTATACAGTGTGAGTAGAAGAGCATCAACTGAAGAAAGTCATCAAGTAGACTCTAAGGCAGCCTTGCTCCCGGTTTGTACACTGTTGTTAACATTTTTGGCAGAGTGTTGTAGAGTTGTAACTAAAATGCAATATGGCTTTATTTCATATGTACTGCAACTGCATACCAGTTTGTTTAATGGGAGTAATCCTGATAGACTAGCTTCAAAACCGTGTTCCTGTGAAAACAGACATTTGTCCAATTTACCAAAATTTTAAGCCCAGTAAGATGAAATGGAGAACTTCAGAAGGGGCACATTATTTGCTAACCGGAACACCTCTGTAAAAGAGATCCCAATCTGCCTGCATTGCAGCGATATGATGTCACCTCTGCTCATGTGGCCCTTGTTACCTAAGGAGCTATATGACCCAATGGTTGGCAGTAGCTGGGTCAAAAGGAGTTATAGTTGCAAGTTTGTTGGTAGCATGTGGTTGTGCAGTCTAGGAGGAAAGCAGTATGCAGCTAGAACAAGAACCTGGGAAAAGACAGAAAGATATGGGTTACATGGAAAGAATAAATCTCACTTTGGAGTGTTCTCTGATATGCTGAGAACTGCCATGTGTAAATGTTACATTTCTACTGGAAGAATTGTGATTCTCCTGGTAAAAGTTACAAGTATTCACTGAATTTCTCCTGGAAAAAAACATGTACCAGGGGCTGGGAACCAGAGCTGGGGAAGCTGTCCTCAAATCTGGTTCCTGTTGTCAGCTGGCTTCCTCATGCTGCCCCCACTGCCCAGCTTGGAGTGGCAAAGGTATCCTGTGAGGGTGCTCTGAGCCAAATGGAGGGAGCAAGGGATTGAGGAGTGGTTGCTCTCCACCCACTCCCTAGACTGGAGTCCCTAGTTGAGGTGGGGGGAAGTTTGCTAAGCTGCTTCTCTGCTCAGCTCCTGGTTATTGGGACCCAAGCAGAAGAGCAGCCACTCCTTGCTCCCTGCCTGTCAGACTGGAATTCCTGGTTTGAGGAGTTTGTGGGAAGGCTTTGCCCCAGTGCTCAGTCCTTCTGGCAGTAGTGGGAGGACAGGAGCAGCTACTACTCCCTTCACTTTCCCCAGGCCAGGATCACCCCAGCCTGTACAAGGCACGTGGGACAGGGGAGAGGGGGCAGTTGCATGGTGAAGGCCTAGACTGCTCCCTCTCCTGAAATCTTTTCTAGCAGTGGAAGTTTTCCACTGCTAGAAATGAGCACCTGTAAATGGCTGGTGAATCAGTAGGGGCCTGTTTTGAGTAGGAGGAAAGTTAAAATCAAATAATTAGTTTGCCTTCTATGTGTAGTTCAGAGAAACTATGCATTCTTGCACATATTATACTTTTTGGGGGTAAAAACAGTAACTTTCTTAATAATAAAAAAGCCATCAAACAGTAATGAATATGATTTCCTTGTATATTGCATCAACATCAGTTTGTTTATATATTATAAAAGCCTAAGTCTGTCTGTCTGTAACACTTTATTTACGTTCTGATTGGCTGACGGAAACAGCCAATCAGAGAGCTCCAAGCATGGGGGCGTGCCGCCATGATTCTGAAGCTGCACTGAGGACTGGACAGAGGGTGGGGAGCCAAGGCCAGCAGCGCTGCCCTAGGCTCTCCCACCCCGCTCCCTGCAAGCAGCAGGACTCCATCCCAGTCGCCCCCCCCCCCATCATTCTTGACAGGCAATTGGCTAGTGTGTGTGTGTGTGTGTGTGTGTGTGTGTAAAATCTCACACACGCATATAAATAAAACCTTTCCTTATGTTATACTATTGTTACTGTATTTTAGTGTTTCACTTCAACTACTTGAGTGCTGAGAAATAATACTAGTACCTCTACTTTCAGATCTTTCATAAAGACTGTAGTATATGAACTATAGGAACTAAGCAAACTTTTTTTTGTCCTATAAATACTGTTTTATTTCCTTTTCTTTAAAGGATTGGGTACAAGGTAGACCTTCAAATAGTAGTCAAATGTAAGTAAGTTTTCTGCTCATTAATGCTAGAATTGATCAAATACTTGTGATGCACTCTAGTCTTTTTCTTTAAAAGTTCTATTACTTTTTGGCATCTGAATTTTCTTGTTACTAATGTCCATATGAGAATGTCTTTAAAACTTAATCTCTATAAATAAGAAATATATAACATTTTGAAGTCAAAGGGAAAACTGAAGTGCCAGATAGCTGTCAACTATTTTATAATGGATCAAGGCTTAAAATAGCTTTCAGTTAATTTTTAATTTTAATGGGATTCGAGAGCAAATCCATATAACTTGCAATAATTAAACAATAGAAACTAAAGAGTCAATTTTTTTTATTAAGCACTTTAAGAACATTTTTATTTTAATTTGAACTATTGACATCCCTGTGAGTTAAATAGGAAATCAAACCCATGGGCTTGTTTCTATCAAATGACTGATGGTGTGTTGTTTTTTTTTGATGTCCTGATCCCATTTACATTAATGGGTCCACACACATGCACCTCCAAGAGCAGCATGTGCACTTCAGTAGAACCATTTACTTTGCTGTTACTTTTAATAATATCTTTTTTTTTTTAACATCAGACTTCCTGGATCCTTGACCAACCTTTTTATTATAAAGTCTCCCCTGAAACTGTGCTGTAATTGCTTTTGTTAGCAATTCATCCCATCAAGTTAATTGCTTGTTAAAGCCATAGCTTGACTAATCTGATAAGAGAAATGTAACCTTGTTGTGAACATGTAGTTATCAGTTAAACACCTCTGTGGGAATTGACTCTTTTAAAGCAAAGTTAATGTGCTGTCATGCATAAAGTGGTGTTTACAGTAAGACTGAGAACATAAAAAACTAAAATGGAAGACTAGTAAGCATTTTTGGGTTTTTTGTAATTTAGAATTTTGTACCGTCTCTGAAAAGTAAGGTAAAGCAGTTCTGCAAACCCAGTGAATTGACTGTAGATCAGGGCGAGCAATTATTTTGGGCAGAGGGCCGCTTAACGAGTGTTGGTGAACTGTAGAGGGCTGCATGGGTAATCCTGCCCCTTGACAGTTGCCCTGCCCCCTTGTCACCATCTTGGGACCAGAAGTCCCACCTCCTAACCCCTGAACTTTGCCACCAGAAGTCCTTCCCCTTGTACCCCTGGAAATACTCCTTTTGAGGGGAGGGGTTGCCATCTTAGAACCAGAAAAAAACCAAATTGTACACTAAAAGTCAGACACCTACTATAACATATAGAGCTGCACCGATATATTGGTGCCATATTGGATCGGCACCAATAAAATTAAAATTAATGTTATTGGCTATTGGTTTTTTTTGGCCAGTGTAGCCAGTAATGTCACTGATAAATATAATTCATTGTAACTTCTGGCTGGGGCCTCTGGATGCCGTATGCATGCGCACAGCTGCCTGCATGCATATAGCCAGGAATGAAGCTGTGCAGCTCATTTGAGGAGCTTTTGTTCAAGCACCCCTGCCCCAGTTTTTAAGTGCTGGGATGCTAATCCCCTGGATGAGCCACCTGCAGCTCTGTCCCGTTTCCTGCCCTGGCCCTGGGTCCCATTCACTGCCCTGGCTGGGCAGTACCTCCCACCCCTGCCCCACTCCCTCCCTCAATGTGGGGGCCTTGATCTGCTCCCCCCTATGCCACTTCCTCTCCACCAGGTGCTGCTCTCAACGCTGCCCAGCTGCATTTCTGTACATCTGTTATTGGATTGGTATTGGCCGATGTGGCTGGTTAATAATCGGCTTTTGGTATCGGCCAAGAACATCTTTATCAGTGCACTCCTAATAACGTATTATAATGTTATTACAAAAAATATTTTTGTCATGATTCGTGTTTGCATAGTGTATATAGAGGTAATTGCATAATAACTACAAAAATTCTTATTTTTGTATATTGTAGGGGGAAGGGGGGGGTTGTGGGAGCAGGGTGTGGGTGTGAGGGGTGGTGTGGGGACTCCTGCACTTCTCCCATGGTGCAGCAGCAGGCAGGGCACTCAGGGTGCAGGTGCCCAGCAGGGTGCTGCTGCGGCCAGCGCTGCACATCACAGCAAGGGCTGTAGCCTCCACTAGGCTGTCTGTATGGCTGGCACTCCCCACCACTCGTGCACAGCCCCTGCACTTGCACAGCAGAGAGGGAAGCCCCACATGCTGAGGCCAGGTGCCTTCCTTGCCGGGGCTGTCAGCACCAGAAACAAACTTCAGGCTCTGAAGCTAGCTGCCTTCCCTGCCCTATGGGGGAAGGTGCCTGCGGCTTCCCTCCCCTGCAGCACAGCCCCTATAGGGAAGTGTGCATGAGTGGTAGGGAGCACTGATGATATAAGCAGCCATGTGGAGGCTGCACCCCTCGGTGCAGTGTGCAGCACTGCCCAGAGCAGCACCCCGCCAGGCACCTGTGCCCTGAGCACCCTGTCTTCTGCTGCTGCCACTGCCTGCCAGGGCTGTGTGCCATGGATGTCATGTGGGGCAGTCTCCAAAACCCCACTCTCCCTCACATCCACATGCTGCCCACCCCAGCTCTGCGCTGCCTCTGCCCCTTGTCCACCTGTCAGCACGGAGCCCGCGCCCACCAGCCCCAGCCAAACACTCCGGGCTCCCTCCCAGCTGTAGCCCCATCCCTGCTGCTTCCCTACCTGCTGCCCGGAGCCAGCAGGAGACCGGGGAAATGGAGCAGGTCCTGGGAGCTGGGGCAGCAGCAGCCCTGCACAGAAACTGCATGCTGGCTGGCTGGGCCCTTTCACCCACAGGATGGGGGCAGACCAACAGGGCATGTTTTTGGGGCTGCATGTACACATGGGTGCCTTGCTCCCATCCTCATGGGTGGAAGGGCTGGACGGGGCACAACTTGTTGGAGGGCCCCACAAACTGGATGAAAGTGCTTGGTCGACCAGATCTGGCCCCCAGGCCATATTTTATCTGCACCTGCTCTAGGTTGATGATGTATCAAAATCAAAAAGCACTGGACTAGCAATCCATGGCCCCAAGACACCATATTGTCAATGAAATCTCCAATATTTTCACAGCAACAAGAAAAAAAATAACCTTGAGGTTGATTGGGAGAACAAAATTTGATGTTGTCTGCAGTGCATTATTTGCTCATTGTTGTTGCCTAAGGGCCCATAAAGTTTGAGGTCTGCTATAAAAGAGAATGCAAAAATGTAGTGATCTAAAAGCAATCTTAAGTACTTTTGCACTCTCCTCTGTCCCCTATAGGCCTTCTGATGAAGATGCGTTGAATGGTAAGATTTTTTTTTTTTGCTGGAATGTAATCAAGTTAAGAGGCACTTCCAACATACTATACATTCTGTATTTCTGTACGAGACTTCAGTGCTTGATAGTGGAAAGAAACTGTCCAGTGTTCACTACTGAAATGTACAAAGATGAAAATTAACCAGAATATGATAAATATTTTTTCAAGTTAAAAACAGGTTTTCTGAATTTGGAAAGCAGTGGCTAATAGAAAAGAACTATTTTTTTTCTTATCATGGAATAAATGTATATTTTGGAGGATGTGGATAAACATAAAACTTATAAGAGAATTAAATTACACTGGCTTATGCTCTACCAATTTAACTGTTATATCTGTCCACTTCCGTACTAATAAGTGAAACTAAACTACTGTAACTTTTAAATCCATTTTGTTCATATTTTAAAGTTATTAAAGATGTCACATTTGTTCCATGATGAGACATTTTTTCCTGGGGCAAAGCACAGTCATTCAGGCTTCCATTCAGTTGTCCCAGGAAAAGTATGAAAAGGCTCACAGTATAAGGACTATGAACATTTTACCCCAGGATATCACAAAGTATGTCTAAATGGTCGCCCTGGGATTGCATCATTAAATTGTTCTGCTCCCAGCACTTTTCCTGTATTTGTCTGAGCACAAATACCATATCTGTCGTGCCTCTGCTTGCTCTGAAGCCACATTGGCTCTCCAGAAGGACCTTTTCTGCTATGGCAGGCACAAGCCTGTTGAGGAGGATTTTAGCTAGAATCTTACTGGCGATGGACAGAAGGGTGATCCCTCTGTTGGAACAGTCTGACTTGTCACCTTTAGTCTTGTACAGGGTGACGACTACAGCATCACACAGATCTTGTGGAATTTTTCCCTGCTCCCAGCAAGTTATAAAGAGTTGGTGGTACTTGGAGTGTAGAGCAGGATTGCCATATTTCAAGGCTCCAGGTGGAATTCCATCAATTCCTGGGGCTTTGTTGCTTTTTATCTGGTCAATGGCAGTGAAGGTTTCTTCCAGTGCAGGACGCTCATCTAGTTCCTCCTTAATAGGCAGTTGCTTGATTCAGTTGATGGCAGACTCATGTACTGTGCATTCAGTGCTAAAGGGAGTTTGGAAGTGCTCAGACCATTGGTCCATGACAGAGCCTTTGTCAATATGTAGGGTCCAGCCATTAGAGCCTCAGTGGCCTTTGGATCAGGAAGGTGGAGCTGTAGGCAGATATCGGTGCTTTGTAGAAGCTTCTGATTTCTTTATCAGCATATAGTCATGTTCTTTCCACAAGATTAGTCCACCATTCATTTTGGATGTCGCGCAGTTTCCGCTGAAAGTTGTTACATGCCTGGCGATAAGCTGCCTTTCTCTGTTGGCTAGTTGGCTGTACTAGAAGGGCTTGATGAGTGGTCCTCTTTTTTGTGAGCGGGACTTGGATGTCTGTCATTTTCATCAAACCGTTCTTGATTTCTGTTAGCTCTGAGCCCAGTGATCTCCTGGGTGGTCTCCAGGACTACTGACTTGATGTGTTTCCAGAGTCCATTGAGTGAGGTGTCTGCAGTATGGGCTTGGCTTGTAAGCTTTGATTTGAAGTGTTTTTGAAATTTTTGTTGGCAAGATTGATTTCACAGCTTGGAAACATCAAATTTCTTGTGGGGTTGCCTCTGTGCTTGGGCTGAGGCTTGAGGTGGAAGGACAACTTTGAGCGAATGAGTGGTCAGTATAGCAATCAGCACTAGGCATGACTAACGTGCAGGACATCCCCAAGATCATGCTGACACACCAAGATGTAATCTATCAGGTGCCAGTGTCTGGAGCGGGGATGCATCTAAGTGGTTTTAATGGTTTTTCTGCTGGAACTGGGTGCTGCTTATTGCCATATGCATTTCTCCACAATTCCAGAAGTAAGTGTCCATTGTCATTACCATTTCCCAATCCATGTCTTCCAAGCATGCCTTTCCATGCTAGATAGTCACTGCCAATTCTTGCATTAAAATCACCCATAATGACAATCCTATCTTTGGACGGTATTTTCTGGATGAGATTGCAGAGGTCAGTATAGAATTTAAGTTTGTCAACTGTATCTACCAGGAGGGTTGGGGCATACACATTGATAATGGTGGTATGCTGCTGGTCACGTGAAGGAAGGCATAGGGACAGGATGCAGTCGGAAAGACCGATTGCTAAGTGTTGTGGAAGCAATGGAGATCCTGGGATCAATGGAAATTCTTATCGTGAAGCCAGCACCTGAGAGGTGTCTCTCCATCTGCAATTTACCTGACAAGTAGAGGGTGTAACCAGCACCGTGTTCTGTAAGCTGCCTTGTTCTGAGAAGCGCACCTCATTCAGGGCTGCTATATCGATATCTAGCTTAGCTAGCTCATGGGCAACCAAGGCTGAGAGTCGTTGAGGGTCGCTGCTATCTTCAGAGTCCAGGGTTGAAGTTTTTGTTTCCCTTTTTATTGTAATTTGGCCGCTTTGAAGATGACTGCTGACTGTAGTGATCCAGCTGGGTAGTAGGGAGACTAGCATTTCTTTAGGCCCCCTTTTCTAGGCCCTTCTCCTACTTAGGAGTGAGCACTGCTATCCTTCAAAGAGGCTGTTCAAAGGCTCAGGTGCTGCCGGGTGATGACATCGTTTCCAGGTCATCGTTGGTGCGACCTGTACTCCCGAGATGCCTGCATGCAGGATTGGGACTGCGGCTGCCAGTGTCATCCTACACCTGCTATTTTCGCCATGCTCCAGCGCTGTAGGACTTGAAGGACTTGTTTCTTTCCTGTCTATGCATGAAGCTTTAAAGTGGAGTGCAGTTGCACTGACTGGCCCCACACTTTAGGTCTGAAACTCGTGTGCCATGGCCTAGCGAACTAGGACAGTGGCAGAGAGATCTCCAGGCTGTAGGTTTAGTTGCAGAGTATCCTTCTCCTAGGTACATTGCCAAACCAGAGCTAAAGAGCTCCACCTAGCTTAGTTATTTGGTTGCTGTTTGTCTGGAACCTCACCTTTGACCTTGCTGCCATGGGAGATCCTACTAGGAAAAAATTCACTCCCTGGATCGCAGCCTTATTGTGGTGGAGAGGCTTGCGTGTCCTGATGATCCTGAAAGCAATGCTGTCTGGATAGGTGCATAAATAACAACACTCCCACTTGCAGTACTCCCAAGTAGTAAGTCTCCCGTCCCCTTTTTAAACAGTATAACTATGAAATCTCTGTCCACAGCCTATTTAAAAAAAAAAAAATGTAGTGGGGAGGGGAGAGCAGGTTTAATTTGTATTCTTGCTTCCAAAGTTCTCAAATTATATTTTGTACGCAGGAGGATTTTATGTATGCATGTACAGTATATAATCCGTCTTCTGTTTCTTGACTTTTGGTAGGTATTGCTTCTCCTTTTAAGCCAATAATGGATATCAATTACTACTACTCAGGTTAGTACCTTAAAACTTAAAGTTAGAGTTTAATAATGGCCTTTTATTAAGTCTTGGTCACTTTCTGATTTTTGTAATCTTTTTCTTTACAGCTGTAGAAAGAAATAATTTGATGAGGTTATCACAGAGCATTCCGTTCACTCCTGTGCCTCCAAGAGGTAAGAAGCATAATCTTGGGGAGAAAGTTTACACCAAGGGTATAAGGTTGGCTCATGTGTGTCTTTAGCAAATGTTAAGATTATTTTCATGCAAAATGGCAAGGCCCAACTTGAACGAGTTATTTTGGTAACATAGATTGCAAAAAAGTAGGTTATAGCCCAATGCAGAGGTCTTGTGTCAGTGTCTTGCAAGACATGCAGAAATGCAGACTTTGTTATAATATCCCTTAAGAAATGCAGCTTATTTACTTAAAGAGGGGCCTGCATTAGCTTAGTTTTAGTAGTCTTTGGTGGGGGGGGGGAGAAAGAGGAGTATTTAGTTCTTATAATAAAGTACATTAAAACACTGATTTTAGTGTAATGGAGCTTTAATAACTGACACTTTCTGCCTTGTTTTGGATATTTTATAAAGCACCATTCTTGTGGTGTTGGGACACGCATAATGTGGCTTGAACAGGGTCACTAATATTTTCTTTAATAACAAAGTTCCAATTCTCTGCTTCTGCTTTAAAGAAAGAAGTTGGAGCGGTGGGGGTCTGCCAGTTGGCTAAAACTCCAAGATTACAGCAGGGGTAGGCAAGGTTTTTGGCCAGAGTGCCAGAAAAACTGCAATGTCTACCTTGTAAGATGCCAGAGCGTGCCATGCCAGAAAAACAGAAATGGGGTGGGGGGGTACATGGCAGGACGCACTGCATATTAATATAGTTAATAATCATAAATGTTGCTTTTTTACAGTAAATACCAGGTTTTCTAAAAATTCTAAACCTGGTGACAATAAATAAAACTTCATATACTACCTATGTTGTTGTGTATTCTTTTTTTTGTTAAGCATATTGTGATGAGAGAGAGGAAAAAAAGGAAGAGAGAGAAAAAAGAAGAGAGAATAAAAGAGAGAAGAGAAAAGCATTAACCACCTGGTGATAGTGTGGCAGGGAGCAGAGTAGGCCTTAGGTCATGAGGTCCTATCCCACGTCTTTCTCCTTTTAGTTCACTGACCTTATCTTGGCCTTAAATGGTAGGTAGAATAGAGAGAGAGACAGGGGTTGGCACCTAATTGTCCTTGGCCTTTACAGTGAGGCTTGGAAGATCACATTCTGGATCTTCGCATGGTTCCTCCACCCCTACACCATGCCCACACCTTTCCAGAGAGATGTTGCCATGGTAGATGTTGTTTCTTTAAGGATACGCTTGCTTAATTCTTTAAAATAGATGCTCTGTATTCACTACCATAAACAAGTACAAATGCTCTCAAGTAAAAAAAATCTTTTCTTAGTGGCTACCTTGGCCCTGCTTCTGACAGCTGAGTTTGGCAATGTTAGGCTGGTAGCTGGTTGTCATCAGACACAAACATGAATCGAAATCATCAGTTGTCAGATGGTTTCTCATAGGACTGAGTATGGTTTTCATTTGTGGAAACACTTGTTCACAGCAATAAGTAGATCCAAATGCAGACAGCAAGACAGAAGTTACTTTTTTCATGAGGACATACTTTTCAGGAAAAGAAGACCAACATGCTGTAATCTTGATTTGCCAGTCCCTTTCATTCTCAAGTTTCCCTTGCAGTGATTTGAACTTTGATACCCAGATGTATTGCTGAGCTCTTAAAGTCAATCGATTTCAATTCAAATTATTCGTTGTTCATCCACTGACAGTACTGCAATTCTGTGTCACTTTCCATAATACTGTCAGGGTTTACAAGAAATGAAAACATGGGATCTCTGTTGCAAAAATCTTGGAATCATCTTGTGAACTCATATTCCAGCTGTCCTACATAGTTGCATGTATCCCTAGTGTTCAGTTGATGCTGCTCAGAATGGAGTTTCAGGCTGGGGAAGTAATGGAAGGCAGACATTTCAGTATCTTCTCTGAAAAAAGACCTTATCACAGAAAACTTTCGAGTCTTCATACAACTGAAGGATGGTTTTCTGTGTTCCTTGTAACCTAGTATTCAGATTGTTTAAATGTGATGGTGTCTGCCAAAAACATCAGTTTTGTTAGCCAGCTGTCATCAGTAAGGTCTGCATATTGCTGAGCACTTTCCTCAAGAAACAGCTCGATGGATTCGAGATAAGCAACAGAGTGCTTGAGCATGTTACCTCCACTCAACCAGTGTACATTACTGTGCAGCACTAAATCTCCATATGCAGAATTTATATAATTTAAAAGTTCATGGAATCTCCTGTGTGTCAAAGAGGAGCGGATCATCAAAAAGTTGACAAGTTTCACAACCATTGTCATGATTTCATTTAAATCAGAAGATAAGATCTTAGCGCAGAGGCTCTCCTGATGAGTAATGCGATGGAAACTTATAAGAGGACGTCCAGTTTCAGTTTCCAGAAGTTTTACAAATCCAGCTGTTTTACCTGCCATTGCAGGTACACCATCAGTAGTAAAACAGAAAGCATTTTGTGCAGGTCAATTTGTTCCTGTGTGACAATATCTTTGACAGCATTAAGTATATTGTTGGCCTTTGTTGTGCTATGCATAGCACTCAAAGAAAATAATTTCTCTCAAACTTCCCCAGAAATAAAATATTGAACAATTATAGCAAGATGGGGGGGATATTCTTTGTCTGTGCTTTAATCCAGTACAAGGCTCATCACATCACAAGCATGGGGGACTTGAGTAACTTGCCCATGTGAAAAGAGTATTTCTAATTACAAAACTAGAAAAGCTGCCGGTCTGTTTTGGTTTTCTTTTTTTAAATGAATCAACAGCTTTTCTACTGGATTTTCACGTTTGTCTGCTTCATCAACTCCAGAAAACTTGGCTTCACGCTTGGTTGTGAAATGGCACTGGATGCTGGAAGTACAAGATACCACACTTTTGCTGCACAGACTACAAACAACATGTTTCCCTTGCTGCACAAAACCACACAATTCTCTCCATGCTGGCTGAAACTTTCAAATATCTAACTTTGTTTTTTTATTATCCATAGTTGCGTATCTGTATGCCTTCTAACTGTAAAATTTTCTGAAGTTCATGCAGGGCAAACAATGTAAACAGGCAAACAGAAAGCAGAAAATTAGAATTTAATTATTTGAAGTGCTTATAAATCTGGGTAAATATTTCCAAGAAGGCAACCAGAGAGCAGAAAAACACACAAAAAAGTGAGCAATATGAAATGTTGAAATCTTGGAATACAAAGTAGAGAGGTCAAAATAAACTGAATATGAACTGTTTTAAGAAAGTGAAAAACTGCAAAATATGAACTGGTTTGAGAGAGTGAAAAACTGAATAAGAAATGATTTAACAGAGTAAAATAAACCAATTAATGTAAACTGGCTTGAGAGAGCAAAAACTGATTATGAAATTTAACAAAACCAAATAAACTGAATAATATGTAATGTTAAACTCTCAGAAATCAGCACCAGCACCAACAGGCTGCTGAGCCCTGCGGCCCAGAGGCACGTGCTTACCTTGTATACAGAGCTGTTGCCCACCCTGAGCCCACAAAGGCGTGTGACATCAGCCTTTTCCCGGTGGGGGGAGGCTGGGCTCTGCCAGGCCAGGAGTCTCGACCCCTTCCAGTGTTGGCACTGCTGCCTGCCCCACGCAGCTGAGCCTGGAAAGGTGCAGTGCTCCTGATACGGCCTGCACCAGCCTCTTCCCAGTGGAGGGGCTGATCTTGGAGCCGGCGGGAGTAGGTCGGATTCAGCTGTGTGGGGAGGTGGCAGCAGCAGTGCTGGGAGGGGTGGAGTGTCCCAGCCTTGGCCTAGCACTCTCCTCCCCCGCCACCCACCAGGAAGAGGCTGGCGCAGCCCCTGCTGCAGAGCTCTGGCATCAGCTCAGCATTGTCAGCATACATATACATCTCAGAGCGGATGGTGGGGGAGTGGCACGGGTTGTGCTGCCTCAGGCCCCTCCCCTGCTGTCCACTTTGAGGTGCACGTGCAGTTGTCACCAGCACAATGCTTGTGCACCTCAAAGTGGATGACAGGGGAGTGCCTAGGGCAGCACAACCCCGGTCCCTACCCTACTGTACATGTGCTGAACAAAATAGCTTCATGTGCTATGTTCTGGCGCATGTGCTGGGGGTTGCTGACCCTGGTGTACAATATTTACTTGAATCCAAGATGAGGTCGTGCCCAACCTACCCCCCCCCCCACCCCGTTTTAAAAGTCCCTTGTCTTGTGTTTGAATACAAGTTTGTGGGGGTGGGGCAGCAGGGGGCAGGCAGTTGTGTGTGGCATTTCTAACTCCAGCCCAGAGTCTGAGCCTGCTGCAATTGCTTGTCCACCTCACTGCAGCCCATGCCGCAACCCCTACCACCACTGCTTATCTTCTTGCTTTGGGGCATGAATCACATGGTTGCTCTAGCCTCATCCTGGCCATGCAATAGCAGTTGCTGTGGCGCCTGGCCCCAGCTGCTGCCAGCGTTGACTGGGGCTTTATCTGGATCTGGATTTAGATCTGGATCTGGAGAGTAAGCAGCAGTGGAGAAGGGTAGAGGCTGTGATGGGCAGGTCGGGGGCGGGGGGGAGGAGACTAGCAGCAAGGGGCACCAGACATGGGTGGGGCAAGTGGTATGGGTGGGCAAGACAGGGGAGCTGGGGGCAAGCCACTTGACTCCCCTGCCACTGCTTGCCCTACTGCAGCAGTGGTGGAGAACAAATGTAAGACAATCCTCCAATAATTAGATTCTTAACATGGAAAATTCTAACAAATATATAAATTTTCCATGTGTAAAGTGCAATTATGCGGGGGGGTCATCTTAAATTTAGAGTAATCTTGGATTTGGGTAAATATAGAAATACTATATAAGAGGCAAGAATTTTTGTGGGTAATCTCTTTTATTGAACCAACTGGATAATTGGGAAGGACATAGACCAGCTTTCTGAAACCTGAGGAGGGGCACAGTGTTACCCAAAGTATATCAGTGTCCCTCCCAGCTATCCAGTTGGTCCAATAAAAGAGATCACCCACAAAAATCCTTGCCTCTCACATTTTTCCTATAACAGCATGGCTAAAACATTACCACAACACTACCAATATCATATTTTCAATATAACATCTTGATTATCCCAGCATAAGGGTTGCTTAGCATTTTGCAGCATGGTTTTAATCAAATTTTTAAAAATAAATTGTAATGTATTGTAATCTAGTATTATGAAATATCTTATTCTATATTGCAATTTTATAGGTGAGCCAGTCACTGTGTATCGCCTTGAAGAAAGCTCTCCCAACACCTTGAACAACAGCATGTCTTCCTGGTCACAGCTAGGACTCTGTGCAAAAATTGAATTTTTAAGTAAAGAAGAGATGGGTGGCGGTTTACGTCGAGCTGTTAAAGTAGTATGCACGTGGTCAGAATATGATATCTTGAAATCAGGACATCTTTATATCATCAAATCTTTTCTTCCTGAAGTTGTGAATACTTGGTCGAGCATCTACAAAGAAGACACGGTGTTACACCTCTGTTTGAGAGTAAGTCGTTTTTCATTCTTGTCAATCAGTAGACAGAGGCAGCATATATTAAAAGGTAAAAAACACACTGCTCAAGCTAGCATATTCTCCGATTTTTAACTTGTAGAAGGAATTAAAACAAGCATGTATTTGTACACACAATCTTCAGAGAGATGGATATAAATCTTCCTGCTGCATTTTGCTCTCAAATTTCCCCCTTTGTTAATTTAACATAATGATGACATATGGGCTTTTAATTATATGAAATTCAACAGCAGAGGGCAGCACAAAAGCTCACATTTGCTTTCAATCAAATGAAGCCTAAATCCATTCCATATTCTCCAAGGTAAGTATCTTTAAATGCTTGTTTACATCCTGTATGCTTTCATAATATGTTAGTTTGGAACAAAAATGTCCAAACATTCACTTGTGAATACACCTTTGGGGAAATATCTTTTCCTAATCATATCAAGTAAGGACTCATAAATGTCATAATTTAGATAACTTTGTATTTTATGATGTATAAAGGTTTAATGATCGCTTCAAAGGTTTAAGGTAGCTACCATGTAATTACATTATTTTGTTCCAGAAATACTTACGTGATATGTTCTTTATAAGGTTCCTGGAAGTTTTCTTGTTATATTGCCACTCAGCTGGACAGTGGTTTGCTGTTGAAGAGTGTATGACTGGAGAGTTTGGAAAATACAACAATAACAATGGTGATGAAATAATTCCAACAAATATGCTAGAGGAGGTCATGCTAGCTTTCAGCCACTGGACTTACGAATATACAAGAGGGGAGTTGTTGGTACTTGATTTGCAAGGTAATATTCTTTCTTTGAAATTGAGCCTGGGGACAGTTCATTTTAAATTTAATCTGTATTAGCAATTTAATGAATGATTTTAATAGTCTTTGTAGCATTATATAAAAATAAGCTTAGCTCTACTTTATGTGATTCTAATGCGAGTGTAGCTGACGTGCCATTACAGTATTCTTGAAAACTCTTTGGGTTTCTTTATTTAGCTTTATATGCTGCCCTGCCCCTCCCCCCCCCCACCTACACCTCCCCAAAAAAGGCTAAGGATGGCTTAAAATAAATAAGGCATCTCAGTTCAACATTTTTCTTTTTTTTTAATTTTCCACATTAAAAACAATTTACACCGACTGTTGGTGGGGTCTCCAAAGCAAAAACTAATATACAGTGTACTAAATTTATTTTTAGTTGCCTGACAGACTCAGAATCTCTCATAAACAAAACGTCTTCTTTCCTTTGGGCAGCATTCTCCTTCTGTAGGAAGGCTTCTGCAAGGCCTAGGATGGTGATTCTCAACCAGGGTGCTGTCAGCAACCTGGGGTACCCTGAGATCCTTTCAAGGATGTTGTGGGGTGCCACTCATTGTTAGCCTTATTAGGTTTGCAACCATGATTCACGAGACTACATATAGGTGTCCATAGTGTCAACAACATTTAGACTTGCTATGGTCTTTCTGAGTTCTGTGCAACAGAAGAATTGCTCTATTTAATTTGTCTGTAGTCAAAAAATGAGTAAAAAACAAGAGCTGGCATTTTCTGAAGGGTTCATTAAGTCTGTTGAGGGGTACCTTGAGTCTAACAAGGTTGGGAATGATTATAAACTTTTAGAATGAGGCTGATCTGAGATTTATTTAAGTGCTTGGGCAGGGACCTCTGCATAAGACTGAATTGCATCCCATATATTCTGAATTCTTTCTGCCCATATATACCTTGTGAAATTGTAACTGATAATACCAAGGATTTGAAGCATAATGCGTCTAAATGTATTATCACATATAACTTTCTTCATGTTCTGTGTGAAGGTGTAGGTGAAAATTTGACAGATCCTTCTGTTATAAAGGCTGGAGAAAAAAGGTAAGATTAATAGGTTTTGTGTTTTTGCTTTTGTTTTTTTAATTTACTTGAGGACACCATACATGCAATATTTACGCATACTTTATTTTTAAAGGTCTTATGATATGGTGTTTGGTCCAGCCAATTTGGGAGAAGATGCAATCAAAAACTTCAGAGCTAAACACCACTGTAATTCCTGCTGCAGGAAGCTTAAACTTCCTGGTAAGAGGCTTTTTTTTTCTTACCATGCACTGTGGTTGTCGCACAATGGAAATTAGATAGCTCAAGAATGTGGAAGAGTAGTAAGTAGTTCTGGTTGGGAATAATTTTTTTCCTAAAAAATTGTTTTCAAAATTTGTAAATGAAAAATGTATAGTAATTTTTCATCTTAAACTAAGGAATATATAGTACTTATTGTTGTCTTCCTGAATATTTAGTCTCTAAGGGAATTTCAGTGAGTAATTGGAGCTGGGAAAACTACATTAGATTTTAGAGGACATTGTAGGGAAGCAGTTGGTCAGTGGTAGGAACAAGGGCTTGGTGATCCAGTAGGTCCTCCCATCTCTTATGATTTTATATTATATTTACACACAAACTGCAAAACCAGAGTCAAAATTCTAAAAAAAAGGATGATCCATCCAGTGGCATATGATGGCTTCTATTTGACTTGGTCTGAATAATCAATACTGCTTCATACGGATTGTTAGGAGAACATAGTATATGGCACCTATGAAAAAGTTTAGTAAAATTTATTTGCTTAGAACAGACCATTGTTTCTCTTTCCACAATCCACTTCAGCTTTTCACTTTCTGCAATAAGTAAAGCACAAGTCTCTTTTACTTTGCAACCTTTGTTTCGTTTCTTTCGCAGACCCTTCTGGTATGTATGAGGCAGGGGTCCTATAGAAAAAGTGATCATGAAACTAAAGATTGTATTGTAGCACATATAGCACACATATCAGCGGTGGGCAAAATGCGGTCTGGGGGCCAGATGCGGCCCACCAGGCCATTCTATCTGGCTTGCAGGGCCCCTAAAAAATTTAGAAACTTAATATTTATCTGCCCTGGGCTGCTTGTCATGTGGCCCTCGATGACTTGCCAAAACTCAGTAAGCAGCCCTCTGCCCCAAAATAATTGCCTGCCCCTGACATATATTAACACAGGGGTCAGATTTAGGTTGCATAGATATCCTTGTAAGATGCATACACTAGGTCTTTCACTTTGCAGTATTTGATATCCTAATTTAATTTCTCTATTTGATGTTAAGAGCACATTTAGAAAACATTTTGTATACATGGCTCTTTAAATTCAGGAAAGATTTTCAGACCATATTTCTTATTTAAACCAAAAAATACTAACTGTTTCTCCCCCTTCCTCCCCTCCTTCCCTGCTCCCCCTTTTGACATGTAGATCTGAAGAGGAATGACTATACACCTGACAAAATCATATTTCCTCAGGATGATTCACCAGAATTGACAATTCAGCCAGGAAGCTGCACCAAAGAATCAGAATCAACTAATTCTATTCGTCTAATGCTGTAATGACATGACCAAATCATTGGCTTCACTTAAACTTTACAAAATGTCATAAAGTTGTCACTTACTATTCTCCACTGAAATTTAGTTTATATTAGATGAAAGAGATATCAACATAAGGAACTATATATTTTAAGTGGAATTTTGATGGACAGTCTATCAGCTAGGAGACCTGACAACTTGTGGTAACCACCTACAGAGAATAGCTGGCAGCTGGTCATTTTAAAGGTTCAATAATGACAACCATTTATGATGTGTTTTTAAAAGGGGCTTTTTAGCAGAAGCTTTATCTTTAATTTTATTTTGGTTTAGTGGAGGATCTTTTCTCTCATCCTGTGGTGCAATATACCCTTGACCAAAAGAATTTTGGGGGTCTGATATTTTAAGGCAAAATGTCTGTTTGGCAGGTGGTTGATGGTCAACCAGCCAAAAAAAAAATGAAGAAAACACCCTTCCTCTTAATGTTAGATGATTCCCCAAGAAGTTATAGAGGTATCCCACTAATGTTTTCTCACTTGATGCCGTATGTATTTCATCTGGCCCTTTTGGAAGGGAACAGATCCAAAGGAACTAGATTCAGTGCCAGTAGGCTAAGGTTGAAGGCAGAAATTGATCTATTCCAATAGAGTTTGGCTCGTGAATTGGGATTTAGCTTCACAGGTGTGAAGCCTGCTTTTGTGGAATAGAGCTGTAATAGTGCACAGTGAAATTTCTTATTTTATACATTTCAGTTTTATCAAGTCACTGTCCATTAGTAGCAAATAAAGCCATGGTAGACTGGTATAATCACATTATATAGAAGAAAGTAGAGCGTACTGGTCCAAATAAGTTGCCTTGTAAGAAAACAAGTTGGGGAAGTGTTTGTTTTTTCTTGTATGTAGTGACTGCTTCAGAATTTATGCCTTCCAAAGATCTCATAAAAACAGTATATCAAAGCTGAATGTACACATGAACCTTTAAATGTGTTTAAAATTGTGTAGAAACATCTTTAATGTTACGTTATTTGTGGTACTTATTTTTAAAAAAAGGCTAGGGTCGGATTAGCATTATGTAAAGTATGGGAAATTGCAATGCACCTTTACGCCAATAAAATGTAACTTAACTGTCCCAAATATTGTTGAGAATTCAGCAAGAAAAACCTGTTGTCCACCTGAAGGTTCATGCTGCGATATTTTTTTTGTTTGGTTTTTTGTTACATAGGTACTAATTTGTAATTTTTAATTGAAGGGCAATATAAAACTCTGTAAATTTTTTTTATTCAGTAGTGTATCTTATAGATACAGACCTAAGGCACGAACACACTAGCTGTTTAAATGGTGTTTTATGTTGATGGGGGGAAAGGAAGGTGTATTAAAGATATAATAGTGTATACATTTTGTATATCATTCAATCTTTAAAGAATCTGAAATAAATTTATTCTTGTTTACAGATTTCTATTGTCCATCCTTCCTTCCCTGAGAGAGATAGTTTAAAGTTACACCGGAGAAATTTGAATAACTCTGCAGGAACATAAATTTCCATACTAGTTCAGATATGTTATCCATATTTTGAGGTATTGTTTCTTGTTCACGATGACCAATGCTAGAGGCATGAAGAAGGTATAAAAACTTGCCTGCTGGATATTTGTGCAATAACTTGAGTAATGAATAAATATAAGCATAAATATCTTCAGCTACTTAAAATGTTTAATCAGAATTAGGAAAACATTCCATAAAGGTTATCTGTGTCCTTGTTTTATTGCCATTGAGTAAGCTTGAGAATCCATTTTAATATATGGAGAATACATTACATAATTTTAGTCTTAAATTTCAATTCTTATATAGATATATTCTTCAACAAACAAAATCAGCAGTTAATGGAACAGGTAAGGCCAACTTGTGCAGTTCAGAGGAATTCCTATAATGAATATTTTACTATCCTGAAAGGACACACCACAACATTAAGATTATAAAACAGAGCAGTTATTTCAGGGGAAAAATAGAACTTTTATAGATATAACCTACTTGAAAGCCTGCATAGTATTTTCAACATTTGACAACACGGTTACTTATACATCTACAGCTCAGGTTGTAAGTGTATATGTACATCCCATACATCCTGCTGGCTTGGATTCAGATTTGTGCCATAAGACTCAGGTTTCAGTCAGAGATGTCAAGTAAACCCAGAATTAAAAGCAAACAAACAATCCCTCCCCCACCCCATTTCATAATCTTAATCCTCCTTGAGGTCAACATAAAATCCTAAAATGTAATTTTCTTAGGTCAAGTCATTTAAAATGTCATGTCAAAAATAGCAGAACTTTTTTTTTTTTTGAGTGGACAGCTTTCCTTTTTTATTTTTTTGTTTAAGTGTGAAATATCTTGCCCATTACCCTTAAATTTTCTAAAATAACTGTCACAAAGAAAACAATTGACATTCCTTGGAATTCACTTGGTAAAGACTTGAATTGAAACCTAGTGGCAATCTTAACAGCAAAAAGGCTACTCTTTTCCCCTGGCTGGAGGAGAGTCGCAGAGGTTTTCTTAGCCCAGAAAAGTTTCACAAAACACCTGGGTTGAGGTTTTTACCTCTAATATCAGATCCTACTCTTGGCTATTCATTGTAACTTTTAATATATCAGGTAAAATGGGTCATAGAGGCAACAAAAAGATAAGGTTAAAGAGGACCGTTCTGAATCATCTGGGAAAAAAAACAGTTACTTTAGTATATTCTTAAATGCTGGTTTAAATATAAAGCATACCTTTCAATATCTTGCATAGGTTCAATAAAATTTATTTAATGAACTCAGTATGGCTTTTAAAAAAACAAACAAAAAGTAACAACATAAATTAAGTCCATCTTGTATGTGATCATGGAATAACTGGAATTGTTAGTTATCTTTAACTCGGCTTCCTCTGAGAGAGTGCCAACTCATTTCCTGTAACATGAATCGTAACTCGTGATAGAGTTGATTTATTAGGCCAGCTAGATTTTTGCAAAAAAATATTATGTAAGTGCAAGCTTCCAGGCACAAGCACCTTTCTTCAGGCACTGGAGAAAAGATTGTAAAAGTTCTCCTGGGTAGAAATGAAATATCATATTTCATAGGAGAGTTGAAGATGTGGTAAAAATCTGTTTGGAACAGTTCATTTCATATGCAGATTAGACTCAAAAAGAGGTTGGAATAGTCTGTTTACCTCAAAGAACACTTTCAGACAAATTTTCAATCATATCAGTCACTGAAATGCAACAGAGACGGTAAGGGGTTTACTTTGCAGTACTTCAATGTTGACATATGCCGGAGTAAAGTACACTCCAGCTATGCAGTCACAAATGTGTAAAGGGGTGGGTCCACCCCGAGGCTGGTTCCCTAGCTACAGTGAGAAATCACATGACGTGAAAAGGGTGCAGCTTTGTTTTTCAGCTTGTTACTGCAACTTCTCATATCAGTCAGCTCTTCCTGGTTATATTTACACTAGTGACAAACAACTTCTAATCATTTGAGAGGAGAGAGGAGAATTTACAACTGAAATCATGGGAGTAACAGTACATATCGAATACTGGTAAGAGATCATTTAGAATATTAAAAAAATTAAGTCTTCTGATTATTAAACTCTTTCCCTTTTTTGTACTTTAACCTTTGTTCCTTTTACTTACGGTAGGTTAGTTATATGAAAGCAGCAGCAGGTTAATACTGAGGCCTTGGTGTAGAGAGAGACTGTTAACAAATCTTTTCAGTTGCAGGATCGGAGCCTCGATTTGGTTCCAGAAAACAGGAATAATGTTGTATCTGGTACTAGAGCTTTTAGCATGTCTGATTTAGTATTTAGCCGATGAGAATTTTAGATGTATTAATACATGTTAACTATATACTTTTAAAAATATAACTTGCACTAGTTCAGTTATATAAATGTACTGGAGTTTCTAATAGTTTTTTACAAAAATGTAGCACAATCAGTTTGTTTGTTTTTTCATTTTTAATCAGCAATAACTTTCCCTTAAACATGCTTCATCCATATCGGGAGTATCTGTGTTAATGTTGCCATCAGCCAGTATGCTAATGTAGTATGTAAATAACATAATTAACTTACATGTTCAACAACAAATAACTTACAGTACATTTATACATAGTTAAGAGTAAAACATTATTGACTTTGTGT